TGATGTGACCTCTTTCACCGGAGGTCCGTGATTACGTTATCGCGCGGACACTCGTTCACCAATGCCGATCTTGACTATCTGAACGCCATTTACTAGAAAAATTGAGCCAGATTTTGAAGAAAAGGCATGTTCTGGCAGGAATTTGTCGTCGTTGCGGTTCCACTGAGGCAACCGCAATACAGCCATCGGCTTTGTGGAGGACGCTGAGATGTATCCTTAATAGCACTTTTTCTTATTGTAGCAGATAATACGCTCTGCTGATAAGATTTTAGAATGTTTCTATGAAGCGACCAATAAATTCCTATCAATCCTTTTGTGCATTTGTATCTGTATATCCGGAATGTGTCAAATATTCTTCATCTTGGTAATGCATCCCTCATTGTAGCAGATGAACTCTAACGCGAATCAAGCAGCAGGTGCTTTGGCAGTTAGTCCGTTCCCAGCACCACCAGATTATGCTCAACACTACACGACTGAACGGATTAGCCAGGGTGCTGTGCTGCCACCGCCTCCTGTGCAAACTGTATTCACTGTATTCGGAGAAGAGTATCGCTTGGAAGATGACATCATAAGGTTAGTTGCGTTTACTAATATCTTTATGTAAATCCGATGTGTATCTTCTTTCTCTTATTCTCTTAATTGATTTGATTTCCCACTAGTTATAGTTTTTTTACAAGTTCACATTTGTTCGAAACTTTTTTCTTCCAAAAATGTTATAGATCTCTCGCATCGCAAAATATCAAACAGTTATACCCGACAAAATACGACTGGAAAACGGAAATGAAGAAACTGAACAGGTTTGTCGTTTGAACATCCATTCTCCTAATAATGTTGACTATGTTGTTTTTCTGTAAGAAAATTTCGAAATTTCTCAGCAGGATGAGTAACTGAAGTAATATCAATATTTCATCTTTTTTAATGTCTTGTTACTGATTTGTAACGTGTTTGCACGAAGTTCGTCGAGCCTGAGAACAGTTCAGAGGGTCAGTATTTCTTAATTCCTATGAGGCAAAATCTTTATCACTTTTATT